CAATGGACCCGGTGGGTGGGAGCTACCCCAACCCAGAAAGGGGAAGGAGCTGATGCGGGGGGGGGGCTGTGGGAAGTTCTGGGAGTTGAAATCCACAAGTCTTTAAATGGCCAAGAGGCTGCCCATGCTGCTGCTGGTCTCTTTGCCCTCCTGGCAGTGCTGCGCTCGGCAGCGCTGTGGGACTGCTCCTGGCTGGCTGGCTTGAATCATCCCAGGCCACCAGCCTGCCAAGGCCCCTTTAGGAGCGGCTGCCTGTGTCGCCTCGCCTGCCGTTTTTGAGCTGCTGAACGCCAGCCTGCATGCCTGCATGCCTTCCATTGCTGCTTCTGGGATAGCTTCTTTCCCTTCCCCTTCTCCCCCCCCCCCCCCCCCCTTCCCCTCCCCCCCCTCCTCCTGGTCCCCCCTCTCCCCCCCCCCCCCCCCCCCGTCTCTTTCCCTTCCATTGCTGCTTCTGGGGAACAGACAGCATGACGGAGAGAGTGGGACCAGCAGTAGCACTTTAAAAAAGTAAGATCTCCCCGAAAATAAGCCCAAGTGCTTATTTTGAAGCCCAAAAGAAAATAAGACCCTGTCTTATTTTCAGGGAAACATGGTAACAAAATGAAATTCAATGGTGAAAAAAGTAAGGTTCTTCATTTAGGCAAGAAAAACAAAATGCACAGGTACAGTATATGTGGTATCTTGCTCAATAGTAGTAACTGTGAGAGGGATCTTGGACTCCTAGTGGACAATCATTTAAATATGAACCAGCAGTGTGCAGCAGCTGCCAAAAAAGCCAACACAGTTCTAGGCTGCATAAACAGAGGGATAGAATCAAGATCACATGAAGTGTTAATACCACTTTATAATGCCTTGGTAAGTCCACACTTAGAATACTGCATCCAGTTTTGGTTGCCACGATGTAAAAAAGATGTGGAGACTCTAGAAAGAGTGCAGAGAAGAGCAACAAAGATGATTAGGGAACTGGAGGCTAAAACATATATAGAACGGTTGCAGGAACTGGGTATTTCTAGTAGTTCAATGAAAAGAAGGTCTGGGGAAAACATGAGAGCAGTGTTCCAATATCTCAGGGGCTGCCACGAAGAAGAGGGAGTCAAGCTATTCTCTAAAGCACCTGAGGGTAAGACAAGAAGCAATGGGTTGAAACTAATCAAGGAGAGAAGCAACTTAGAACTAAGGAGAAATTTCCTGACAGTTAGAACAATTAATCAGTGGAACAACTTGCCTCCAGAAGTTGTGAATGCTCCAACACTGGATGTTTTTAAGAAGAGATTAGACAACCATTTGTCTGAAGTGGTGTAGAGTTTCCTGCCTAAGCAGGGGGTTGGACTAGAAGACCTCCAAGGTCCCTTTCAACTCTGTTATTCTGTTATACAATATACCAAAAGTATGTACAGTCAAACAAATTAGAAGTTTAAAAAAGGGAGCTTGGTAAGAATGAAGAGAAAAAGTTTGTGAATGGGGGGCTGAATGATTGCTGAATGAGGATGAGAGAGGTATTATATAATGTGAATAGCTAGAAAACAGTACAGATAGTCAATTGTATGACCACAATTGAGCCCAAAATTTTTGTTGCTAAGTGAAACTTTGTTAAGTGAATTTTATCCCATTTTATGACTTTTCTTTCCACTGTTAAGTGAATCATTGCAGCTGTTAAGTTAATAACAGTTAAGTGAAACTGGCTTCCCCATTGACTTTGCTTGTCAAAAGGTCACAAAAGGTGATTACACGACCCCAATACATTGCAACCATCATAAATATGAGACAGTTGCCAATGTTTATATTTTGATCACGTGACTCTGGGGATGCTGCAACGGTTGTAAGTATGAAGAACGGTCATAAGTTCCTTTTTGAAGTGCCGTTGTAACCAGGGTGGATAAAAATCAATGATTTTTTTAAAAACATTTAAAAAATGTTATTTTTAGTTAAATCGGATTTTTTTTATTTTTTTCAAATTTATTTTAATAAAATGCTTTTGGAATTAAAATCTATCTAAAGATAGTTTTCTATTTAAGATACATTAATAATTTAGTTTATTCAGCATTAAATGGAGCTTAGTTATGTAGCATGAGGCTGTATATTCTGCAATATTTACATTTTTGATAAACTCATTCAATGAATCCAAGCTCTGCAAACTGAGATAACATGCACTCCATTGATGCAGTCACACAATTTCACAGCAAATGACAGTTGCTCTTTAAAAATTATGATTTAAATCAAGCCTTTTTACTAGTGATTTAACTCATGATTTAAATCATGATTTAAATCGACTTGATTTAAATCAAATCCACCCTGTCTGTAACTTAATAGTCACTAAATGAAAGAATACAGTCTTTCAAGAGAATACCCAAATAGTTAAAATTTAAACAGTAATAAGTCACAGAGATTTCCTTCAATCATACAGCTCTGAAAAGGCAAAAAAGACAGCCCTTCAAAGACTGGATAATATTAAATATCAAACTGAAGCTATCACCCTATCCAGGAACAGAAAAGTCCTGATTGCAAAAGGAGCATGCTATTTGCAGGCTATTTATACATTTTAACCTTCCCAAGGTTATAGAAGATTTTTTTTTTAAATTAGGCACAAGCAGGGATGAAATGTTACCGGTTTAGACCGGTTCACCCAAATCAGTAGTAAAAAATGCTACTGGTTCACCGAACCGGTAATTAAAAAATGTAAAAAAAAAGTTCCGACAATCAACTGAGCGACACACAATCGTCGGAACTTTTTTTTTTTTACTTTTTAACCATTTTTTTTACTACCGGATCTCTGGATGCTTTAAAAAGTTTTTTTTTTTAATTCCAATGATCATGCGTCGCTCAGCTGATCATCAAAAAAAATTTATTATTTTTTAAGCATTTTTTTACTACCGGTTTGAGCAAATAGGTAGTAAAAAATGCTTTAAAAAAGTTTTTAAAAAGGTTCCCAAGATCACTGATTTCCCCCCCTCCCCCATTCTACTTACCTTCCCAAGCCTCCTTTTGGTGCGTACTGTGCACCTGTGCGTGCAGCACATGCTTGGTGTGCAGTACGCATGCGCGACCAGCAAACTGGTAGCAAATCGGTTCAGATTTCACCATTGGGCACAAGGTACTACAAGGTACTATTACAGGGAGGATTTACTAATGGAAGGAAACTGCCTACCTGTCCAAAATATGATTCCTGCATTTTTTACATGCTACTCTTTTGTGACATCTTCCAGAAAAGATAGTAATATATTACACTCATTTTGTTCTTTTAGACTCCCACTGTGGTAATGTCAAATTTTGTATGGCTATACTGAAAATGCAGCAACAAATGGTTCAAATGTAATAAATCTGCCACTTGGGACTTAGACTACTAATTCTATTTTATTAATTTTAGTTTTGGGATTAATTTGCTTTGTTTTAAGATAGGAATAATAAAATTATCTTTGTAGCAGTCAGTTTCTGCTCACAGCTTACAACCTAAACACAAGAGTTGTAATAATAAAGGGGAAAATAAACAAATAAACAAAAACCAAAGGAAAAGGAAAAGGAAAAGGTAGTGACAAAAGAGGAGAATACACATATAAGTCGCATGTGCTTACAGTTACAATTATTAATCACTGAGCAAAATAAACTCTAGTTCCTTTCAGGATGTTGTTTGCATATCCAAACTATAAAGGTGAAGATAAAGGTTCCCCTACACATATGTGCTAGTTGTTCCTGACTCTAGGGGGCGGTGCTCATCTCCATTTCAAAGCCAAAGAGCTTTGAAGACCACAGAGACATCCGAGACGTCTCCGTGGTCATGTGGCCGGCATGACTAAATGCCAAAGGCACATGCGACACTGTTACCTTCCCACCAAAAGTGGTCCCTATTTTTCTACTTGCATTTTTTACGTGCTTTTGAACTGCTAGGTTGGCAGAAGCTCGGACAAGTAACGGGAGCTCACCCCCGTTACGTAGCACTAGGGATTCAAACTGCTAAACTGCCGATCTTTCGATCCACAAGCTCTGCGTCTTAGCCACTGAGTCACCGCGTCCCTGCTATATCCAAACTACATCTACTTTATTATATGAATCATATAGTACACTACTTCCCTATTCCACTATCTCATCAATTTCAGTCCCAAATGAAATTTCTTTGGAAGAAAATCTATCCCTGTACTTATTACATAATCACAAAAATCCTTTCTCAAACAGCAGTAGTCCTTACAACAGGTAGTTCTTGCAATCACAATTGGGGCCAGAATTTCCATCATGAGTCATTGTGGTCGGACTCTATGTTACAATAATTTTTACAGCAGTCATTAAGTGAATCACTGCAATTGTTATGGTCATTAACCAAATCCTGTTTCTCTAATGGGTATTTGGTCACAAATCATGATCACAATTACAGGCTATTGCACATGGTTGTAAATGCAAGCCAGTTAACAAGGATCCAAATTGCAATCAAATGACCGCAGTGTGATACAACGATCATAAGTGCAATTCAGGTCAAAAGTCACTTTTTCCAAAGCCATTCTAAGTTTGAATAGTTGTTAAATGAACAGTTATAAGTCAAAGACTATCTGTATTCATCAGCCAATAACAAAGAACAGATATTTCAGATATTTTCTCAACAAGTACCAGAATCTGAAACAGAAGGGGCGTTGCTTACCTGATACGCTCGTTCTCGGGGTGGTGGGAACAGCAGTCAGGAATGGGTTAATCCATCTGTCAGTCCTATCAGCTGACAGACGGACTTAACCCATTCCTGACTGCTGTTCCCATCGTTATGGAGAATTGTAACACTTGCATAAAATATTTACTAATAATTCTAATCAAATATTAAAATATCACCAAACAAATCTAAAAATTTATCTAAACTTAATTCTGTCAAGAACGGTATTAGTTAACCTTGTTTGGTATCTCCACATGAAAAAAATGCTTTAAGAAAGTTTTACCACAACACCCACAGAAGAAAATTAGAAGTTGATACTTTTATACTCTCTTTAAACCAGTTAAAATATAAATTAATAGTATCTTGTAATTACCAGCAGGTAACGTAAATGTAACAAGGTCAGTTAGGAAATAGCAAGCAAAATCTCCCTTCCGTTGATGAAGCGATGCAGCAATTTCACGCCGGATTTGTTCAGTGAGCTCCGGGCACACCATAGCAGGAATGCACTTAGCTGCATGCTGGGACACCTGTAAGATGACATTTAGTTACTTTCTTTACTTTGAAAGATAAACATATTACAAAACGTTTGGTACAATGTTTATACAAAAGGTACAAAAATATACTTCGTGAGATTTCTCTTTCTACAGACACTTTTCAATCAACTTAGAAACAAGAACAAATTAACAAGATTCATTATTTGAAGTGCTGAGGTAGGAACAATTAAGAGACAATCCCACCTACTCCCCCCCACCCCACACTTCCTGTTCCCTCCCTCCCCATCTTTTAACAATAATTTTATTTCAGTTATGATTTCCATTTTTATTGCTTTAGAAATATTTTTCTTTTCGGATTTTAAAGTTTTAGTGCTGTAAGTCTCCCACAGTTGTTTCAATGCAAGGGGAGGGAATTTGCACTTCCCTAGAGTGCATGAGAGTTCCCATTAACTCCATGTAGAAGAAAATTAGTCACGAAGGATCAGCACTTTTTCTGATTCAGAAAATTAACTATATTACAAATTAAATGAAAAACTGTCCAATGATCTTATCTGAATAATCAGATTTAGACAAATCAAACAAAACTCTGTTGTTAGTCTAATTTTTTAAGCAGCTCACTCTGAAGTTTTAACTATTACTGGCACCCAGATTCATTTAGTCTGGTGAGCGAACTAATGAGCAGTCATGAAAACTCACCTCTGTAAGCAGAACTGCTAACATATCTTGTCTCTGAAAACGTATTGCAAGGTGAACTAGTGTGTATCCCACATCAAAAGCAGAAGGCCGATTTAACAAGCGTACTTCATCTGCAGTAAGTTGCCGTGCAATATCTCCTCCTGATGATTTATAAGCTTCAATAGCAGCTAGATCACCTTCTACAACCCCTGGAGACATGGAAATTGTATCAGAATTTTTATTTTATTTTTAAATTTTCTAAATAAAATTTTACTTTCAGATTCTTGGAATCCTGTTTAGGGAAATAAATGTAGTTGCGATTAAATAAAAGCTTCTCTGCTAACAACATAACATGCACACAGTGCTGCAATAGGATTTTTTCCCTATGTTGTCTCTGAAAGTATAGGTCATTCGATGATATCTCTCTAGGAAACAGAATGCAAACTGCCTCTTTGAAATTTGTGTATGTGTTTTTCAATTTCATTCAGACATAATAGTTTAAGAATAAATCAGCTTATACATAGTACATGACCACTGTGAAAAGAACTTTATATATTGAAAATGTTTTTAATAACAAATCTGCCTGTACTAACAATATGTTAACTAAGAAAGTCTTTGAAATGGACTTTGGAAGCACTCTGCTGAATTATCTCAGCCTCATCATACTTATTTAAATGAGTTAATATGAAATCCTGTATCAACCTGCCTAGGGAGATTTCACAACAGCCTGCATGTAGCTTGAATATGGTTGAGCATGATGATATATTATTTACTGAATTCTTGTTAATCATAGCATACAACCTGTGAGTGTCTTTTTTTTTATCCCATTCGTATTCCAAAATAAAACTCACATTGCCCTACATTTCACCCTCTCAAAATTTTGATGGACTCATATTGGAATGAAAACATCTTACGGGTCCAAGATTACATACTGAATTTAATGATTAAATGGCGATGGAACTTCAAAGTCCTAATATTGTCAGAAACAACTAGATCACAATAAGAAAATTGCCACTTTCCCAAATTCTCCTCAGAAATAAAGAAAGATTTAGCAAGAGACACGACAGCTAAATATCAGGGATTTGGATTGCTGAGCATGAGGTTAGACTTAAAAGCTGAAATGTTCCCTTCTAACTCAATGATTCCAAGATACAGATCATGTGTCTTAGTACGACATATCCACTGTATAAAAATATGCCATTTCAAAATAGGAGTTTAGAAAAACAACCATCCTGTATTACAAGAAGCTAATTGATAGAAAAGTGATGCATTACCTGGGAAAAAATATCATTTTATTAGAGATTCATTTTAATATAATCCCCAAGATTCCAAGAGTATAGTAAATTGCTTAAAGAAAAAAATAGATTTAATTTTTATTTAGGTTATTTTTTTTTCCAGTATTGTTAAAAATGTTTTTAATGGGAATAAACTTCAAGAAACCAAAACCATTCAAGGGAAATGAGAATTTTCTCTTCCCAAGAAACAAAGTAACTGCTAGAGATAAATTCCACTCTAGGGTCAAAGTAAGCTGAAAGAGAAACAAAAGTAAGTTGAACTAAATGCCACAGTATGGACAACATGAAAGACAAAAGAAATGAACAAATAATTTATGAAAGGAAAGTACCTTTACGCAAGCAGAAGAGAATATAGAATGTTATCTTCAATATAGAATGATAGAAATACTTCAGTTAGGCCACTGAACACGGAAATAAAACTGAAGTAGAAAATTGTAGAGATAGCTGTTTTACATCAGGTTAGTAGTATTATTTTTAAAAAGTTATGGAGAGCACATATGTTATTCATATCAAGGACACATATACATTTTAGGCTGTTTTAAAGGCTCTCTTTTATAATTGGTTAAAACAATTAAAATTGTGTTTTAAAATTGTCTATTTGATAGAGTATGAACCCAACAGAAGACGACTTCTTTATTTGCTAATGATGTGTAACGAAGTTCTTCGCCAATGGATTATCAATGTAGCCCCAAGTTATTTACTTATGAACATCCACAATGAAAAATTTGGTGGCAAATGCCCCTATTATTTTCACTATCCTGCAGTTGGCCGAGTCCATATACTTAAAGAAAATCCTATTCAGTTCCTTCCTATTCAGTTTCCCAAGCTCAAGAGAAGCTCAAATTGTAGCACCAGCTGCTGTTCTGCTCACCATAATAAAATTTACCCAACTGATGTCCAGATAAAAATGATTATGAGTAATTCCATATGCAAAGAAACTTGCAAATTCATCCAATAGGTTGAAAGACATTTGACCCCATTTATCATTCCTTAAAAAAGTTTCAAGTCACTCTGAACAGGACTACCAGGTGGAAATCCACAGGTTCAATAAAAGTGGAGAAAAGCTTTGATTCTCTTATTACCATATAGCCGTGATGGCGAACCTATGGCACACGAACCTATGGAACCTATGGCATGCGGAGCCATATCTGTGGGCACATAAGCGTTGCCCTAGCTCAGCCCCAGCATGCATGTGTGCGCCGGCCAACTGATTTCCGGGCCTTCCGGGCCCACTGGAAGTTGGGAAACGGGCTGTTTCCTGCCACTGGAGGGCATCCAGGAGGGTGGGGAAGGCTTTTTTCACCCTAGCTCAGCTCCAACATGCATGTGCGTGCCAGCCAGCTGATTTTCGGGCTTTCTGGGCCCACCAGAAGTCAGGAAACAGGTTGTTTCCGGCCTCCGGAGGGCCTCCAGGGGGGGTGGGGAAGGCTGTTTTCGCCCTCCCCAGGCTCCAAGAAAGCCTCTGGGGCCTGGGGAGAGTGAAAAATGGGCCTACCTGGCCCACCATGCCATCACGTGCCAAAAGCGGGGGGAGCGCAGGGGGTCGTGCGCACATAAGCGGGGGTGGGACACATTAAATTATGGGTGTGGGCACGCGTGTGTGACCCCCCTCTGCGCTTCCCCCACTTTTGGCACACGATGGCAAAAAGGTTAGCTATCACTGCCATATAGGCTTGATCACAAGCCCATACCAATGTTCAGCTATTTAATTAGGCACCTAAGTGTATAATTGCTAGATTGCAGAAAATTTTCAATGTAGTATTTCCTTGTAAAACATATATAAAGTTGTGTAGAGATATACAATCCATTAAAAAAAACTACTTCTGTTTGGTATAAATGCCACAAGAAGAAAAGTGATCTTCTAAAGAACAGCAATTTAACATCTTTATTTAGGCTGGAATGCTAACTCAAATATTCATATAATTAATTCACTCTTGAACGACAACTCACTATACACCTGAAACCTAAAAAACATGACAAATTGGACAACTAAAACACATGTAGTATTTGCTAAAAAAGAACATATTTGCATCAAAAAACATCTGACTCCAAAACTATCCAAATAAAACTCCCTTTACTTATAATCAATTATGGATTATATTCATAGTAAAATGCTGCTGGAGTAACAGGAAAGAGTGGGAGAAAAAACTGGTACAAAAATGCAGGACAAGGCGCAAACAAGAATACGGAAATTTATTCTTACACTAATGAAATAAAGCAAATTAAGTAAGGCACACATTTATTCTCCTATTTTCTTCCATTTAAACACCTACTGCCTTGAACACTAAGGCACTCTCAGAAACTGTGGAAAATCGGTTGCTAAAAATCTATTTAACAAATAATTCAAATATCACTTTCAAAATAATCCAATACAAACCTAAATTACATGTTACTCACAGTTACTGGAGTCAAACCTAAGCTGAAAAAGACACCTGAAATATGGAAAAATAACAAAGAAATGCTGTTAATCCTTCTTTCCTTCTAATCTTTACCTTTTCCAGCAAAGATTCCTAGAAATTTATCTCCCCTGCTATTTTAGATTGGATCACTAGATTACATATAATATAATATTTCAAACAATAGGAAACTTCTTGCATAGCATGATAGAGCTTGCAGAATCCATGGCCAATTGAACTGAACAAATTTCATTAGAGAGATTTAACAGTTCAAAACCTTATAATCTCCTCCTATTTCAGCAATTTGTCTCTACCACTAACTAGAATATTTTTATTAAGCCCATGGAAATCATACTATATGTATGATTGTCTTATTTCAGTCTTCTGTTGTAGAATATAATTATTTTAGAAATGAACAGAATTGCAACCAATTAACATGCAGCAGATATACATTCTGTCCAATACTAAAAGTTATAAAAAAGCAAGCATACTGAAGAGCTGCATATACTGTATAGTTTCACACACGAAGTTAGAAACAGTAAAGGCAAAATTGGAAGCAGGGAACAAACCAATTTACTCTACCATGATTCCACGAAAATAAGACCCAACCAGAAAATAAGCCCTAGCATGATTTTTCAGGATGCTTGTAATATAAAGCCGTACCCCAAAAATAAGCCCTAGTTACGATAATAAGCCAGACAAACACATTTTAGTACCATATTTCTCTGAAAATAAGGCCTAATCAGAAAATAAGCCCTAATGCATCTTTTGGAGCAAAAATTAATATAAGACCCAGTCTTATTTTCAGGGAAACACGGTATCTGCCTCAAATGCTTACTCGGATCATATAATTATTTCTTAGATGAAAGTAAGTTTCTTAACTTCATACTGCATTTCCATCCTGGAGAAAAACTCATTATGGATTTGGTTAAAGAAGGGATTATCTAGAATAGAATGCAATTTTAGAAAGAAGAATGAAGAATACATGTTTGTGTTTATGTACACATAAAGGGGAACTACTTAGCCAAGCAAAATACTGAACTGTGCACCAGAAATTTGCCTCCAGGGATTTGGGGACAATGTCAGTTTTCGAGATCCATTTGAATCTAGTTTCAGGTTGGTTATAGAACAAAAACTGCTTTGGTTATGTTGCTGAACAATCTACACAATCTACAAAATATTATGCTCTCTGTGTGATTCATGAGTATCTGATTATTAGCTGTATTGTGTTGGGATGAGATCCAGAGGAAATCTTTTATGGAGGCTCCAATCTTTTCTAGAAGTAGGTTCAAAATGGAAATGCTCAGAGAGATGATTATCATTGGATTATAATTTCTTTTAGCGTTTTGGTTGCTTCCACCTGGCGTCTGGGCTTTACTGATTTCATTACTATAATAATGATTAACTCCATCATGCCTTTCCAACAAAATACAAAGAAACTGTTCAAAGATCTTGTTTCATGTTGGAAATTATAGTGTCAACAAACCACAGGCTGTTTCTAAATCTTTTGAGGGCCTG